CGATGCTAAGAAGGAAAAGAAGGTGATGCAGAATATTCCCGTTGTATGTGATTATCCAGAAGTATTTCCCGAAGATCTTCCTGGATTACCGCCTGATCGACAAGTGGAATTCTGTGTTGACTTGTTACCCGGAACAACGCCGATTGCAAAAGCACCTTATCGATTAGCACCGACGGAGATGAAGGAGCTGATGATGCAACTTTAGGAGTTATTGGACAAAGGTTTCATTAGACCTAGTTCATCACCCTAGGGAATGTCGGTGTTATTCGTAAAGAAGAAGGATGGAAGCATGAGGATGTGCATTGATTACCGAGAGCTGAATAAGGCAACAATAAAGAATAGATATCCATTGCCGAGGATTGATGACCTATTCGATCAACTACAGGGTTCAAGTTATTTTTCAAAGATCGACCTAAGGTCAGGATATCATCAGCTGAAAGTACGGGAGCAGGATATCGAGAAGACTACATTCAGAATGCGATATGGACACTATGAGTTCTTGGTTATGTCGTTTGGACTGACCAATGCTCCAGCAGCATTCATGGATTTAATGAACAGGGTTTGTAATCCGTTCCTTGATAAATTTGTGATAGTGTTCATAGATAACATTCTGATTTATTCAAAAAGCCAAGAGGAGCATGGCAGACACTTGCGAGAAGTTTTGGAAGTCTTGAAGAAGGAGAAGTTGTATGCGAAGTTCTCCAAATGTGATTTTTGGATTCGTGAAGTCCAATTCTTAGGTCACGTGGTCAACCAAGAAGGGATAAAGGTTGATCCAGCGAAGATCGAAGCTGTGATGAAGTAGGAACAACCGAAAAGTCCCACAGAGATCCGAAGCTTTTTAGGATTAGTCGGATATTACCGAAGGTTTATCCAAGGTTTTTCTTCGATCGCTAGTCCATTAACAGCTTTGACCCACAAGGGAGCTACTTATGCTTGGAGTGATAAGCATAAAGAAGCGTTCGAGAAGCTAAAAAAGAAACTATGCGAGGCACCAATACTTTCTCTACCCGATAGAGTTGAAGACTTCGCTGTTTATAGCGATGCGTCTGGTGTTGGATTGGGTTGTGTTTTGACCCAAAGAGATAAGGTGATCGCATATGCATCTCGAGAGCTGAAAGAGCATGAAAAGAACTATCCGACTCATGATTTGGAGTTGGCAACGGTAGTTTTCGCTCTGAAAATATGGAGGCATTACCTCTATGGCACGAAGTGCAAACTTTTCACTGATCATAAGAGTCTCCAATATCTCTTTAATCAGAAGGAATTGAATATGAGGCAACGACGTTGGCTAGAATTACTTAAGGACTACGACTGTGAGATACTTTACCACCCTGGTAAAGCAAATGTTGTTGCTGATGCTCTCAGTCGGAAAGTCAATCTTGAAAGAAAAAGGCCAAGAACGTTGAGAATTGAAGTTGTATCGACTATTTTGGAAATTATAAAGAAAGCTCAAAGCGAAGCTTCTGAGAGGAATGACCGAAAGGAGGAACGTTTGGGCAAAACGTTGGTGTTCGGTGTAAACAGTCATGGACTGAAGGTGCTCCAAGATCGGATTTGGATACCTAAGACATGAGGAGTCAGAGATCTTCTGATGGAAGAAGCTCACAAGACCATGTACTCGATTCATCCTGGTAGCACTAAAATGTATAGGGACCTGAAACCCTACTACTGGTGGCCGACGATGAAGCTTGACATTGCGAAGTATGTGGCAGAGTGTGTGACTTGTGCGAGAGTCAAGACACAACATCAGAAACCGTACGGGAGTTTAGAACCTTTGCCTGTGCCTATGGGCAATTGGGAGGACATCACGATGGATTTTGTCACTAAACTGCCCAGGACAAAGAATGGTCACGACATGATTTGGGTGGTCGTTGATCGATTCACTAAAAGTGCGCATTTCATAACAGCCAAGGAGAAATGGTCTATGGAAAAGCTTGCGAATTCTTATGTGAAGGAAATTATGAGACTTCACGGTGTTCCGCTAACAATTGTGTCGGATCGTGATAGTCGTTTCACCTCAAGATTTTGGAAAAGTCTACAAGAGGAATTGGATACCAAGTTGTGTTTAAGTGCAACTTACCATCCGCAGACTGATGGTCAGAGCAAACGAACAATACAAACACTTGAAGATATGTTAAGAGCATGTACCTTAGAATTCCAAGGTAACTGGGATGAACATTTACCTTTGGTAGAATTTTCCTACAATAATAGTTTCCACTCGAGCATTAAGATGGCACCTTATCAGGCCTTGTATGGGCAGAAGTGTCGTACGCCATCTTGTTGGCTTGAGGCTGGGGAAAAGCAGTTTATGGGACCAGAGATAGTCCAACAAACTGCTGAAAAGTTGAAAATAATTAGGGAGAGAATGTTAGCAGCTCAAGATCGTCAAAAGAGCTATGCTGAAAAAAAGCGAAGACCGATGACTTTTGAAGTGGGAGATTCGGTTTTGCTTAAAGTCTCGCCGTGGAAGGGACTTATAAGATTTGGTAAAAGAGGAAAATTAAGTCCAAGGTTTATTGGACCGTTTAAAGTTCTTCAGAGGATTGGGAACCAAGCTTACAAGCTCGAACTACCAAAAGAACTGAAAGGAATTCATAACACTTTTCATGTGTGTTGTTTGAGGAAGTTCACGGGAGAAGTTCCCGACATGATTCCACTTTCGGAGTTAAGAATCGATGAGAACAAAAGGTTGATTGAGGAACCAGAGACAATCGTTGACTGAAAGACTAAGAAGTTGCGACGTAAGATGGTTGAGTTAGTGCTTGTCCGATGGAAACACACGAATGGGCCGAATCTCACCTGGGAGATGGAGAGTGACATGATGAGTCGCTATCCGCATTTGTTTGCTAATGTGTGATTCCGGGGACAGAATCATTCTAAGGTGGAGAGAATTGTAACGCCCGTGTTTCTGGGCTTGCCATTTTTAGCAATGTAATAGTCTAGGTTAACCTTTATAACCCCAATTTGAAATAATAAGAACGTATTATTTGAGTATTATGTGTTTCGTGCTTAATTGCTTAATTACGTAATATGATTAATTAAGAATAAAATGAGCGTAAAAAATTAAGTGTAAAATAAACTTCATATCTTTGAATAATGTTGTAGTTGAAACGAGGTTTCAAAATATATATAGAACACCCAAATCTGACTTCGTGTGAGGAAGTTATGATTTTCTGAAGTTTCGACGTGGCAGTATGCAGCCCGAATACTCGATTTGAGATCGAGTGGTTTTTAGCCGAAGCAATCTAAACGAGAATTAAAGATCTCGTTGTTAGTAGCGAAACGATGAAAAGTTAGGCGAGAACGGATGTCGGATGGAGAAGTTATGAATTTATAACGAAATTTTCTGTCCCGACCTCCTAAAAATAAATATTAAAAATAAAGTAAAAATTAGCCGACGGAGTCTAAACGAAAGTTGTAGAGCGTAATCTCACCTACGTGTGGATATAAAGACGTCGAAAACGGAGTTCGTATGAGAGAGATATGAATTTTCGAAGTTTATTAAATATTTAATATTTAAATTTAAATTCAAAATTTTGATATTATCCGGAGGGGAGTCACCGGACTCGCCGGGAGTACGCCCAGCGTACCACTCGAATACTCGGAGTCGTATGCGATGACGTAGAAGACCGATGATGTAAGCGCTGACGACAAATGAGGTGTACGCCCCGCGTAACCCCAAAGTTACGCCCAGCGTAACCCCGAGGCTCAGCCTATAAAAGGGGGATACGAAGGCAGCTCTTTTCTTTTTACAATTTCTTCCTTCTCTCTCTAGTCTTTGCCTCGTTTTGCGTGTTGTTTGTACCCCGAATCCCCGGTAATATTCTCGAGCCCCGAAGTAAGATCCGAAGCCCCGAGGGTCCCAAAGAGCGTTATTCCCGAGCTGAAGCGCTGCCCGCGAGGAGCCGGTTTTTGTGAAGATCTTCCAGATCTACGGAGAAACACCTCGTCTGCAAGCCGTAGTGCTGCCCGATCATCTTCTGATCATGTGAGTGTGTAATCATTTTCATTCCAACGCAATATTATGAAGTATTTTATATAAAATACGTGTTATGTGTATATATTTTGTTGTTATACGTGTGAGTGTATATTCACTCCTTATAGATCTGATGTATTCTCTATGGAATACGTGTTATGTGTGTATGCCTCATCTGTTATGTGGAATATGTATTGATTAAAGCATGTTATACATGTTTTTTAAACAATGTATAAAAATGTATATTTTTATCTACTAATATGTTGGGTAGAACATGGGTAGATAATTGGTGTGTAATAAACAGATGAGGGGCCTCGGTGTTATTGGTGTTATTCTAGTCATTCAGCAGAGTATGGATGACGACCACGGACTATTCTAGACTGTCCTGTGGAACACTAGCAGGCTCATTACCTGTAGCTGTTGTGAACAACGTGTTCACCGGTGTACTCTATCCCCCACATGGTTGCCTTTAGGACACTTGTTGTTGAGGAAGCCCCTCTGCAGTAATGTCTGTCCCGATGAAAATCCTGAATTAGGTTCCTTATAATTGATGTTATTTTTAGGGATGTAAAGTGAGGATAACGGGAATGGGTAATCGGGTTTATTGTTGATTCTTGAATTAAATATAATTATTTATTGAAGGTTGAAAACCCTACATGCTCACCAGGCTCCCAAGCCTGACCCACTCAGTTTATTTGTATTACAGGAAGTGGCGCAAGAGCTTAAGATGGAAGAATCATCAAGTTGTTTTGTTTACAAGTCTGTATATGTATATATTTGTTGAATGACTTGTAATGCTATCGTTTATGCTTTATGATCTGTATCGGAACATGACATCCCGACTTTTGATTATGAAATGAAATTGTATTTCTTTATGAAATGTTTTGATAAATATCTATTTTATCATGTTTTGTTTTTGGGAACAAATTCTGCATCTCTTTTAAAATTAAAAGGGTTTACTCTGAAAATGTTTAGAAAGCATAAATGAAACCGGTCTTTTCTAGCCGTGATTTTGGGGATGTCACAAAGTGTCAGTTGATCTGTTAGGTATTTTACCCATTTTGCTGCACACTACATACCTTTTTTTAATGGTTTTGTCACCAAACCTTGTTACTGTATTTAACCTGACACCAAAACCTGATTTATCTGCAGATAATTTATACATGTCAACTGCCTCCTCTAATGATTGATATATAGCATCTACATCTGGCATAAAATCTTTAGGAACAATAGGTTTCCACAACTTGGTTTTCCCACCAGGCGAATCAACAACATTACTATTGAATGATTCCTCTTCAAAATCAGTTCGATTGGTACCTGTTTTTTAAGACAACAAAAAACAATAATGCGACATGCAATACATGATATAAATTTCTATGAATTATGTATACATAAACTACAGAAGTTTATAATCATAATAAACGTCTGTGAAACAGTAACCAGAGTTGAAGTGTTTACTTATTTGAATCGTATTAATGCATAATCACCAATGATTATCAAACTTAATCAACATTGTATTAAACTTAAGAAAAAATCACCAACGAGGGACTCATGTACAACGATATGTGATATAAACCAGCATTACGTAATTAATACATGCAACATATATGACTAATCATATACAAATATGTACTCCGGCCTTATTCAACATATACAAAAATTCAATAATTATTGAAAAACACGATCTTTATTTACAAGATGTTGACATTGTTTTCATTTTTTACCTTCACTCGAATAATCAAATAATTGATTTCTTCCGCTGTATTGACCATCCGAATTATAGAAATCGTCGCCATCATATTCATTACAGTTGATTTCTTCTTCGACATATTGATCATCATCTTCTGTATCATCGCTACTGTAATCAAAACAGTCCGACATCGATATTGATTTGAATCACGAATGGTATACTGCGTTGTTATCTTCAACCGTAAATGATTAACAATATACAAAAGTCGATTGAAATCCCGATTGGTATACTGGAAATCATCCCTGGAAATCGTATCTTCAATTCAATATCTCCTTGAACGATAACTATGAAATATCCCTTAATTATAGGAAAATATTAATGGATAATATATTGATTATTAATTATATTATATTAATTAAAAATTAGATTAAATACAAATTTACTTAAATACCCTAATAAAATGATTGGCTGATAAGTGTTCTTGCGTTCTCAACCTTTTAGGTATTCTCATTTGATCCTACTCCTATATATATATATATATATATATATATATATATATATATATATATATATATATATATATATATATATATATATATATATATATATATATATATATATATATATATGATTTTATAAAAATACAATAGTAGCTAAATACTTGCATCTTTGTTTTTTCTAATCTATTTTGAACTTAACCAAATACAAATATATCATCAATACATCAACGACAATGCAACTTAACCTAATCTAGATAAAAATATAATAGTAGGTTCTCTACAATTGTAAATAATGTTGTGATGTATGGACTACAAGTGTAAATACACATAACAATTATTATTATTATTGTTATAAATAATAACATATATTTTAAGAGACTATTATCTATATTAAAAGGAAGAAAAAGGTGACTGAGGAAACTGGTTCATCTGTGTTCGGTGTTTGTGGGGCCCCTTCTAGAATCGTAAAGAATAACATTTTTTGGAGGAATCTTTGAAGGAAACTTCTTATTAAACAAACAAGATCATGTTTCGTTCACGCTTCATAAGGCTTCTCGGTGTGGTATGCGGTTTGGGGGTCGAGACCGCACTGCGGCCATTGAAGACCGCGTTTGCTGATTGGCTCTTCCTTTTTTTCTTTTTGACCGTTCAAAGATTCGTGTAATTTATTTATTAATTTTTTTAACCATTTACTCCATATATATATATATATATATATATATATATATATATATATATATATATATATATATATATATATATATATATATATATATATATATATAATCATTTTTACATTTACACAACCTTTAAACACATATAAACACAATCATTTCATCCAATTTTCTTTGAAAAAATATCTTCTTCCAAAAGACCTAGCAAAGAAAAAACACCAGTCAGAAACACCAACACCCCAATACCTTCATTTGATCAACCGATTTTCCCACCTCCGTATTACCACTATGGCGGTATCTTTCCTTATTTTCCACAACGACCAACGCAACCACATCCACAAACACCACCACTACCACAACCCGACCCGGATTTTAATCCATTTGATTTTTAATTAATGAAATATTATGTTTTTAAAATTATGTTTTTTTATTAAAAAATAAGTTTTATTAAATTAAAATAGTTAACAAAAAAAGGAAAAAATAAATAAAACTAAAACTGTGGCACCACACCCTTGGTATGGCAAGAAACCACACTTAGTGGTAAAAAGTGACATGGTGAGGGAGGGAATGCGGTTTGCCTAAAGGAATGCTTTCTGTTTTTACAACAAATTATAATATTTGTTTTAAGAAGTTTTATAAGATTAAACAAATGCCTAATAAATAATGTACATTTATCCTTCTATGATTATATCAATATATTCTTTAATATTTTAGGATTATAGTTATTTTTATTTAGGAAATCTCCGGAAAAGTCCCAATATTTTACCTTAATTTACGAAAAATTCCTAAACTAAAATTTGTTTATGAAAAAATCCTAATTACCGGTAAAAATGACGATTTGACCCTATTTCCCCGATTTACCGGTTTCATTACTTAACCGGTTTTAAAAAAGTCCCATTATTTTACCACAATTTACGAATAAGTCCCAAATTATTGTAAAATAATCGGACTTTAATGAAAATATTGGTAAAATAATGGGACTTTAATGTTTCCGGGTAAGTAATGAAACCGATAAGCCGAGAAAATAGGACCAACTCGTCATTTTTACCGGTTTTTGAGACTTTTTCATAAATCAATTTTAGTTTGGAACTTTTTTGTAAATTAGAGTAAAATATTAGGACTTTTCCGGAGATTTTCCTTTTTATTTTACACTTTATATATGTAATTAGGTTGCAGGTAATATTACGATTATTTTAATAACACAACAAATGTAAAGGTTTATTTACTAACAACATACTAAGGAAAATGCTTTATATTTCTAAATATATTTTATAGTTGGGTGTTATTTAGAAACCTTCTACAAGCATTGAATGATTAAGAAAATTAGGTTTGTAAACGAACAAAAGGTTCAACAAATTGTTTGTGAATTATTCAACCTAAAGTTCGTTTATTTACTAAATGAATAAACATCAACAAAAAATTATGTTTGTTTAGTTAAACAAATGAACACAAACAATAATATCGATCATTTATGTTTGTGACCAATCATTTGTGTTTGTTCATTAATGATAGTTTATATTCGTTTGTAATTGTTTATGTGTGTTCAAATTTATTTATTTTTATAAGTATTCTTATTTTCCTAACTCTTTTTAGTAGCATCTATTTGATGGCTTGTTCATATATGTTTTTGTATGCTTATCTGTGCTCGTTTTTATTTAGATGTTTGCGTTCATTGATTTAGGTATTGTTCTTAGTTTGGGTGATTACGTTAGTAATTTAGGTATTGTTCTTGATTTGTTAAAGTCGGCTCTATAAAGATTCTTAATTCAAAGAAAACTCGTACTTTAAGAGTATCTCCAACCCAATTCAATAAATAGAGTAATTTTATATGTGGTTCAACAAATAGAGTTATTCTTCTCCAACCCAAATCTAATTTTACAGCAAAAATAAAGTTATGAATACTATCATTCCATATCTAGAGTAACACTATCCATTTACATTATGAATAGAGTTAAAGTTTCACTTGTCATATTTTTCCTTTTGCGTTTAGAAACATCCCTTGTATAGTTATGTTCTAAAATCCTTTGATTTGAATTCAAATTAGTTTTTAAGTTTGGAAATGTGGAAATATGATCCCAAAGTCTGAAACAAACTTAGTAATTTTAAAAAGGCGAGATGGCATCAATTGCTATCATAACACTGTCAAAAGGAAACACTACAAGATGTAGTCTTCTAAATTTTCTCGCTATCTTTTAATCTTCCCTACCCATTCGATTTGGTGGTTTGGGTTTATACTCAGCCGTAGAGGCTACCTCATATGCTTTTGTTGCTTCAAGATCCCAATCTTGGGTATTACAAGAACGCATCTTACGGGATAGAGACATTTATTGTAACACCATGGTAACCATGTATTTACACTTTTAACCTTGTTGTGTTGATTTTTGGCACTTTGGTCCAAAAGCCAGGCGTTCTATGATGGATGCCAGACGTTTGCACGCAAAGACCAAACCCTAATTTTTAGGGTTTGCACCTTATTTAAAAAACTTTATGGCCTCAAAACCCTTCACCACTGCAGCCTTCATCCTCATTTCGAAAACCCTAAGTGTATACGAGAGTTTGAAGCCTTGGTTCATCTTTTTGGTATCATTTAGTGCTCTTGATAAGAGAAGGAAGATCTTTGGAGTAATGTGGTTGCTCTCTAGCTTGTGGATCCGGACTCTTGATATCTTGGAACATCATTTTGAGGTATAAAGTTCATATCTTGATTTCGGGCTAGTTTATGTTCTTTTTGGTCTCAAAGACATGCTCTAGAGGTTTGGAGTGTCCTTTCAAGCATAATAGTGAGTCTAGAATCATAAAAATGCAATCTTGGGTCTTCATAATCATCCATGCAAGAGTTTGGAGCCTTATAATTGATTTTGAGTTAGGATCTTGGTGTTGGGCTCGTTGTAGCCATGCATGGCCATAAAGTTTACAACTTTATGGCTTTAGACGTTCCATTATGATTGGATCTAAAGTTTTGACATGATATCTTAAGCCATTAAGACATTGGTTAGGAAGTTGGTAATCAGCGAGGAAACGCCAGGCGTTTGCATGGGAACGCCCATCATTTGGATGCCAGGCGTTTGCATAGGAACGTACAGCGTTCAGACGCCATGTGTCATAGGGTGGAACGTTAGGCGTTCTCAGCTGAATCATAATGGAACAATTTTAGGCCTTAGGGCATTAGGGGTTTTAGGCTTAGCTTATTTGGAGTTTGGGGGATCATTTTGGTTTTGGGCCTTTCGAGTACTTAGATAGGACCTTGGCCTTGGGCCAAGTTAGAGAAAGGGAAAATGGTGTTTTACCCTAGTTTAAACTCTTAAATATGGATCAAAATCTAATTATTAACTAGATGTGTTTTATGATGACAACACGGGGATTTGCCGGACCAGCAGACATAGATTTATCTGAGTGATTTAGCAGCTTGAGGTGAGTTTCCTCACTATGTGTAACGGGTCGAAGGCACCAATATCGGCCCATAGTTTATTATGTTAGGATGTTAGATGTTTGCGTGACTCTTGGATGGGCTATGTGTTGATGTGCTTACCGGGAAAGGCCTGATGTCGAGCGGGGCCCGATGACTATATTGTATGCTATTATCTTTGTGATTTTTGCATGTGTTTGTATGATTATATGTTTATATGTTTATATGTATATCGGGTGGGATCCGATGGCAGGGGGCCTAATGACTGACAAGTTATTATACCGACCAAGGCTCGACGTCGAGCGGGGCCTGATGATGGGCGGAGCCGTTTATAAGTTTATAATGTATGGTATGTTGTATTTTAGGGAACTCACTAAGCTTTTTTCTTACGATTTTCAATTTATGTTTCAAGTACTTCTGGTTCAAAAGGGAAGAGCTCAGGATGATTGCAGAACACACACCATCTTATTTCACATATTGTGATTTACTCTGCTATTTTATGATGTACTGATACACTTTGTTCTTGTTGGGTTATGAGCATTCTAACACTCCTAAGTGTACATGCAACCCTAAATACCTTGGATCTATGTTTTCTCTATTATACATGCAAATAAGAACTTCCAAGGTATTATCCTAATCTAGCATACAAAACAATGACTATAACAAGATAGATTACATACCTCTTTGATGTAGAAAGTCTTCATGAAGCTTGA